GGAAAACCAGGAACGTTCTTTAACGTGTTGAATCTTACATTTAAAGAATAAATTTGCAATATTCATCTGAATTTAAATTATATAATTTTGATTAATTATACGCAGTTCGCATTAAGTTTTTTACTTCATAAATAAGTTAACAAATATTAAGCTTTTTCTTATTCTTTTTTCCTCCATAAACTAAAAGATTTAAAAAAACTAATCGATTTATTAATAAAGTTAAAAATATATATATTTATAGATTTAAATCATCGTATTAAATTAATCACGGATTTGATTAATTCGCACTTCAGTTAACGAGTTTGTATAATCTGAAATGTTTTTATAATGTTATTACTATGTAACGTAATATTTTCATAACAAAATACTAATTGGAATGACGATTAATAAATACTTTGAGATTGCAGTTAAAATATCTCGTGCAAGATTTATTTCCTGTTAGAAAAAGTTTTATCATATTATATATGATCTTAACATTCGTTTACTTCCATATCAAGTTATCAAAGTATAGGAATTAGAGGAGTGAAAAAAATATTCGAGTTTATTTTTACATCATAAATTGTACGTTGGTTCGGAAGATATTTATTTATAAGTCATAAATTCTCATATAAAAAAAAAACAAATTTTTTTTTTACACAGAGTGGAACTTCTTACGACAGAAAATAATTCAGTTACATCCTTCTTTACTCAGTATTTATCTACGCATCGTAGATCTGTTTATTAATGACAAGTCTTGTTGGGAATGAATAACTGTAAAGTTGATATAACTATTCTCTAGTTGAATAATATAAGTATTCGTTTTACTTTTTAATAGAAAATATTTTCCAATATATACACAAACTAAACTTACTACAAAAAGTGAAACATTTGTCAAATCTCGGAAGTTCATTCTTGGAAGAAGTCAAGTCGAATTCTATGAATGAATAACGATCCATGGAAATTTTTCTTCAATCGACGGTTAAAAGAAATCCAATTTTTCATCGTTTGATGGGTCACCCGGTATAGAGTTACATATTCAATCAAAAGAATCCAGACTTTAATACATATTCGTTTCCGGTTACGAAAAATAATATAAGATTATAGGTCTAGCAACCATTTAAACTGCAAACTGTAGACAAACAAGCTTTTCATTCCTTTTCGGCAAAACTTTCAACTTTCTGAGAAATAGGGTGTGTGAAGAAAGACGTAAACATTTTCGCCGAACGTTTGTGATTTATGAATAATTACATTGTTCGAAGCTTTGTTTCGCAGACGACATAAAAAAATTAAATAGCGTACGAGCGTTTATGAAAAAAATTAATTGTATAAAATAAAATGATTCGTTCTTAATGAGTGGAGAATGTGGATTTTTGTCTAGGGTAAAAGTGGGCGCGAATCTTTTCATAGGCAGTGTAACGATCTGGCTTATGGTTCCGTCGCTGGCACACGTCACATAAATACAAACCCTGCTATCGATTCTATTCACCATCTGTTTCGCATCGCGGCTTGAATAACAAATCTACTGCAATATATTAGCATAACGACGACACTCTTTGCTTTTAATAACTAGAAAATTCCCATCCAACAACAGAAAAGACGATACTAACCAAATGACAGCACTTAACAAGTGAAATTTCTACTTTACACGGCTTTTATAACAATTTTCCATAATACTTCCTCCTTCCAGGAATGTCAGCTTTAATTTCTAATGGGTATGCTTTTTCTATATTGCTCTGCACATACTTCAAAAATTAAAAAACTAATAATTTTTATGTAATATGAAATATGGAAGAATTAATTTTTATATAGCCGTGCAAAATTGGAAAAATTCCTATAATTATAGATCTCCTACTTTTTTCAAAAGTTTTCCTATTCATTTTTGTAAGTCACGTGTTCAGAACTATTGATCTGACCCAATTACCTTAGAAGTAGTATTAAATTACATATTATCCAAGATAATTCGAAAACTAGCTAGGGTTCTATTCCTAGATACTTTTGTAATTCTTGCCACGTGTGTATTAAGCTTGGCAGATTTGTGCTGCACGTAGTATTGATGACCCACTATTATGAGATGACCGACCGTGTGAGAGATTTTCGACTTTTTCTGATGGGATCTCGTCAAAAGGGAAGAAAAGTCCCTCAAGAGACGTGGATGGCACACTGACGTGTATACTTCACCTCTGGATTTACCATCAATCTCGTTAGACATCGAGTGATCCCCGAGGATATGATAGAAGGTCCTTCCTCTCTGCTAACACATACTGGACATGACGACATTTTGTATCCGTTGTATAGAATGAGAAATAGAGATTAACTTACAGTTTTCTCACATCTAGATCCAGTTAATCAAATTTTCTTTTCTAACTTTTCGTTAAAAGAATTCACAACAAAGACATTTGACAGAATGACGATTTTATATTGAAATAAACAAAATAAATTATTTACAATATAAATACACTCAACTGAAAATTTCAAACTCTATTAGCTAAGTAAATATAAAATGCATTTTGCATATAAGAAAACATTTCTCTAAATAATAAAAGAAAGAATCTCCTTTCTTTAAATTTTTTACTTGAGTGGGTATTTCTTTTTTAAATTTAGCCTAAATACATTCTTCATAAACAAGTCAAATTCCGAATAAAATGGAAATATATATATTCAGAATTCAGCTATCCACAACTTAGAAAACTATAATCTCTCGCTAGTAATAAAATTACCTCACAAATAAAACGATGGCAAGATTGGCTGTCAACTTTCTAACACGACTGTAGCAGCTGAGCCAGATTTCAATAAATTTCTCTCTTCTGATGGAAAATAACGAGGTGACAAATAAATTATTTCTTATCTGTCAAATCCAACACCACGTCATATCAAACTCGAGTATCTGGCCAATCCATATTTTTAACACTTTAACCGTTTTTATTTTCTTACCAAACAAAAGTAAATGCAGCCATTTTTCTAAACATTTTAATATTAATTAAGGAAAGTCGACGGTACGACCGAGCAATGGACGACGTGGGAGAGTACCGACCTAACTCGGACCACGTGACAATCAAAATTATGGTTATTAAGTTGTCCATGTCTATTCGTCCCATCCTGCCCACGCCCTGAGATATTAATTCCGCCACAGTTGGAGGGTGTTAATCCTTTTTCCTATTGGTTGACACTTTATCATCGTCTCAACTGTTGTATGTCCATTGATGCGATTCGTGTGGGAAAGAGATAGATACAGAGTAAAAAAAAAAAATATAAAAAAACGCCCTAAATACCATAACCTATACGTAAAAAATTCAAATAAAAATATTCGTTGAATAAAATTTAAATATTTTTATTTAAAAAAAGTCGAGCTCACATTATATAAAGATGAAAAAAATATGAAATTTAATTAAAATTAAGCGCAAATATGCTTTAATTAAGTTTCTTAAAAATTCACCTAAACTGTTGTATTACATAATTTATTACGTTATTTAAATCATCTTTGAAATTTTAATAATTTTGAATATGATTTATTAAGTATTTGTGAAAAGAAATCACATATAATATTGATACATGATTTATAGTTTTATAAAAATAAGCTCGTGTTTGACAGATGGCAAAAATTTCTAATATAAGAGATATAATGCCAATTAATGATTATAAAAATTCTTTAGAATAGATTTTTCTATTCATTTATATAAATATTAAAACAACGTAAATAATTAAAATCATCTTTAGTAGCGTGCTGAAGAATTTAATATGATAAAAATTGTTAAAGAATTTTAATAAGACAGCTGTTTATGATGTTATAGTAAATAAAAATCGCTTAATTATATCTTACGAAAGTAACCTAAATGTTGTTTATAGTCCATACATTATAGACTAGAATAGAGAAGACTTAGCTAGAGCAAAAACAAACTATTAACTTCAACAATTTTCCACTACGATTTAGACAAAGAGTGTAAATATAGGTTAAAGCTCAAGTTAATGTTCTCTCTACGAGCTCAACCTTATTATTAACTTCGAGTGGATTCCTGATAAATTAGAGAAGTAATCGTGTAGACCTTAAATGCAAATTGCCGTTCAGAGCACGTTCGTCTAAATTGCAAAGATCGCCTGTAATAGCGTGACAAAATGGAGGTGACGTTTGTATGACAACTCTTATTTTCGATAAAATAGTTTTGTCACGAAATGACAAAGAATTTCAAAGGCATGTTACCAATAGACAGTTATAACTGCATATAATTACGTGCAGCCTACTTAAAAGGGTAACATTAGAGGAGGAGCGAGATAAGGCGGTCCCGGAAAGCAAAAATTGAATTACTTTAAAAAAAAAAAAACTATATTATCTAATCAAGATTTAATAATATATTATCACGTGACTGCTATTTTTCTTCGCAACAGGTTGCAATAATGGTCGATTTAATTGCGCGCTCGATAGTAAATACGGTAATATTGCTCCACAAGTATTAATTTAATCGAATCAATACGAATTTAATTAGTATATATTACATTATAATCGTACAATTACAAATATTAACTAATTTATCCAAACAGTAAAGCTTGCTTAACTTATAAGCTAAAGAAATTATATTCGTTTCAAACTTCTGACTGTATTTTTGTAGAGATTTAAAAGAGACAAGCTTAATAGATTGAGTGACTGCTGACGAAGCAGGCATTTAGTCAAGCGTACAACCAACAGTAGAATTTAATGTAACTGAATGAACAGATATTACGACCACGTGATAAGTCAGAAAGAATCGATGGAAGAAACCGAAAGAGTAATGTTGTATTTAAAAAAAAAAAAAAGGAAAAAGAAACCGATACTTCAACTCTTATAATTATATAAAATTACGTTAAATAAAAAAGAAAATATGATCTTAATACGAAAAATCCATTACAGTCTTTTTTAAAATGGCATAACTTTAATGTAAAAAAATTCAAAAATTATTTCTTATTGATTTATAAAAGTATTTTTTTTTTAACTTCTTAAAAATTTATATTGTTTATTCTAAATTGTATAATTCTCATAAATATTAACTTACCATAATCTGAACTGTCAAGTTGAATGACTTTTTCTCATTAAAACTAAAAATATAAAAGAAAACTATGTTACTATATTATTATTATTATACTATTAAATAACAAAAACACCGATTATAAATTTATAATATGCATATATATTTCTTTTCTCTTTATTTGAATATAGCTTATTAAGTTCTAATAAAGTATAATCAGATAAAACAACTTTAATAAATTTTTCAAGAAATTCTCTCTACTTTTATGGCACAATAAATATAACTTAATAATGTTGTTGTGCTACTTTGTTTCAACTATTATACGTTTTAAGCTTGCATTTTAAATCATATTAATCATTATAATATGCTAAATATCAAAATAAAATTGTTAAAAAAGAAAATATATTATAATTAAATTTATTTAGAATATTCAATTAACTTAGAAATGAAGCATTAAAATGTTTATCTCGGAGATTCTCTTAAATTTAATTTTTTAAAGAGTTTATTTAAATGATTTATACAAAAAATTTTTTTTAATTTATAAAAATTTTATATAATAATAATATTAAATTGAGTTATTTATTGGGTTGGATAATCGTTTGCTCATCACAATGTTATCTTTTGTAATTTTTGTAATAAATAAATTTTTAAAAAATTATATTAGCTGCTTAAAAATAGAAGGTTAATTTTAAAAATTTAATTTAGAAATGTTAAGATAAATAAAAACAGTTTTTTAAAAAAATATAATTTTTATAACTGTTTTTATTTATAACTATTGACTGATTTTCGAATATTGTTGTTCCATTCTATTTTATAATTTAAAAACAGACTAAGAATTTCTTTTAAATGTTTTATAAAATATATTTTATTAACTATTAAAAACACGTTTCCAATACCATCGAATCAGATTTTTCTTTAAATGTAAGCATTACATAGAATTCTACAGTCGTTACTGGCAGCCTTATGTTAAATTCTGTTCGCCGGATCAAAATTTCCTAAGGGATGAACATATAACAAATGGACAGAAACGGTGATCTTATAAGCCCGTTTTCTATATAAACCAAGCTAAAAGAGAAAATGAAAGTCAATAAATAAACAAGAAAAGCCTATAAAAACACAGCTGCAGCAGTTATTTCTTTATTCTTTATCAGTCATGTATATACTTCAAGATTTTACTTTCGGCTTTAAAAAATGTTCAATTCAATTTTATAAAATACATTAGATTCATTAAAAATAAATCATTACACACTTTTACGGTCGATGAACTTTAAATAATTAATTTATTTTATTTTAAAACGTACAAAAATCTCTAGTTTAAAAAAAATAATAACTTTCTCCCATTAAATTCTTTACGCGTTAGGTTACATATTTTCATTAAAAATTGCAAACTTCCACAAAAAATCCATTTAAAACTTTCCAGTAAAAAAAATGGTAGGGAATTTTTTTACTACAGATTATATAGCCTATATATAAAGATGAGAACTCGTTAAATTGATGTTTTTTATCGGTTACAATTCAATCTATTGTTAAAATAAAGATTCTTTCGACAAATTTATCTACTCCCAAAATTCTCGTCAAGAGATTTCTAACAATGTTTCAAACTTACTAAACGTAGTAGACATACATTCTCTTAAATCGGTTCAAATAAAACAAGAAAAGAGTCGAACCATTAATGGTGAGACCATTTCGTCAGTCGAAAACTGCTCGGCCCAGTGGTTCTTGGAATGAGAACAACTTCTTCTCTACTATTCTATTGTCGAAGAATAACAGGTCTCTGACCTAGAAGATCAAAGTTGGGAAAAGACGTTGAGGAAATGTTGCTATTGTAATTGTTCCTTTAAACGGATCGTTTCATCTTCCTAAAAACAGTCTTTTGCTAAGAGTGATGGGGAACACTGGCTAGGAAGAAAAAAATTAATACGTGTCCACAAACAATTGGAACTTCGACACTAAGAAAGATAACAATCAATTTTATAACTGTTACGACAATTTTCTAATTGAATAATTCTTTTTCAGGTAACGTTTAGACAATTTTATCGACTTACAAACAATATTTTCATATATTCTTTCCCTGTTTTTCCTGTTGAATTTCCTCTTATTTAATAACAAAAGTAAAAGATACCTGCATTATACTTTAAGAAATGAACTAAACTTTTTCATTCAAAATATTCGGATTTTAATACAAGTTTTAATGAGATAAATACAAAAAGAAAAGAAAAAAATATATATATTACATAAGTTATCTCTTATGAAAAATTCACTACATTAAATTCCTTTAAAAACAAAAACTTAATCGTTATCTGTTTTCTTTATATCTAAATCATTTTATTTCATTAGCATTTTTATAAAAACATTTTCTTTTTATAAAGTTAATGAATTCGCTAATATCTTTATAAATCAATAAAAAGTATTAACAGTAAGATTTTATCATGGTTTAAAAAAATAAAGTTTTGGCATTCCGACAAATTATTTTTCAACTAATTATTTCATTATTAATATTTTTTACCATTATTATTATTATTATTAAAATATTTAATGCTCATTAAAATAATTTATTAATAATTATTTCATCTTAAACCCTTTGAGCAATTTTAATAAGTGTTTTTAGGGGATTAATTTATCTGATTTCATAGAAGAAGAAATGCTGATTCTCAAAATGTAAGAAGCTAAATTAATTTACATAATCACGATAGCAGTTTTTATTGTTATAAGAATTTCATTATACGATAAAAAATTTTTAAAAATCATTTCAAAAACTTGTAAGCTATTTGTTCAATTTGCATAAATTATTGAAATGTCTTTGGTATCTGTTACAAGATCTTTAAAAGTGAGAGATTTTTTAAATGGAAAAATTCAGATTACCACTAACTGAAGATATTGATTTTGATTAAAACTTTTGAAAGAATATTAAACTTGGAGTTTTAAAAAAAAAGTGCTTCGAGATATAAATGTTCATACATAAAATTCTTTATCAATAAGAACTTTACTTAACATTAATAAAAAGGTCAAGGCCTAAAATCAAGGTCGTCTCTGCAACATTGCTTAAGAAGCTATTTAAGAAAATTACTTTCTCTAATCTGTATGAAAAAAAATCTTTAAACAATACCATCCTAGTTATTAAGCCCTACACACCACCCATCATCATCATCATCATCTCTTTGTTTTCAAGAAGGAAAGATTTATTGTAAAAATTATTCTAACTGAATGAAAGTTTAACGTAAAGTTCTGCTAATATTAAAGATTTATCGTATTGAAAACAACTTGAACAAGACTTTTCCAAAGTCCAAACAATGCATATGTAATACTAACTTGAACGAAACTCTTAAAAGTAATCCTCCTTCGAGTATAGAAGATAATACAGAATGAAAGAGTTATACGTCAGAATGTGAAATTTTATCTCAAAATTATCCAGAAAGACTTCTTATCCAAAACCTTGAACTAAAAAAAATTAATTATCGTCGTATAAAAGAATTTAGAAAAACGTTTTATTAATCGAAATTGCGTTGTAAAGTTGATTGAGTTTTCCTCTTCCTTTTTTTTTTAATTTCGATTACTAGCAATGAAAAGTTCTCTAAAAGTTCCAAAAGTACGAGAGACCAATTTCGATCAGTTGAAATTAAACTTGGAAACTCAATTCGAAGATTTCGCGACAGTTACAGAGAGCGAAAAGATTATGTGATAACTGAAAGTATTTCATCAATAAACTCGACCAAGCTCCATTTACTAAATACGATGTAAAATTTAATCTAATAAATGACTATTTCTACTTTTAAATTTTTAATTGAAAGCGAAATTTGAAAGATATCTCTAAAGATTTTTAAAAATCGTCTTATTCTTATAGGCCGTGTCTTCGTAGATAAATCATTACAGAGGTTATCATCAAACAAGAAAGATGAGTTTAAAAAATTTCAGATTTTTTCCAATTTTACTGCCGTTCATTTTATCGGTATTTTTAAGTTAAAATTATATTCGAATGATTGAAATTTCATTTAATCATGCAAAGTACCTACCATTCGTTAACTGATATCTTTAAGTTCCGTAACAAGTACGAGAATATTATATTAAAGAAAAAAATAGATAAAATGAAAGTACTGGCGTAGGCGTTAAGGAGTCATAGGTTAAAATCTGATCCAGTTTTTCGAAGCATAAGAATTTAAAGAGTTGATTCTTAGAATAGTAGTAAATAAGTTATATGAACGAAGATCGCAGCAAAAGAATATTTCAAGCTGGATTATTACTAGACATACTTAATGACTCCAATTATACAGAAATGAGTGGGGTGTGGCCCCTGTGAGAGGAAGTCTACTAACAGATTCTTCGTTGACTTTTTCCCTCCAGACACCAATTTTCTTTTAACAATTGGCTTATCTTTCCATAGTCTCTACTTGGTCTCTTTCATATAATAACCTCAACGGGATGATTTTTGACACAAATTAAATAGTATTTAGTCAAGAATCTAATCTTGAATCATTACAAAAGAAACAAATAAAAAAAAACTGGATAATACATTTTTAAAAGATAAGATAATTAAAGGAAATTGAAGCCAAGAATGCGCTTTCTCTAAGAAATATGATGATAATAATAATAAATGGTTTTATATAAATCTGAAATTTATTTAAATTTAAAACAAAGAAAATATTTTGTATATTCTACACTGTTATTTATGTCCTCTTATGATCTGTAACGTTTCTTTTTAATTAAATTGCTATTAAAATTATAATTATTAAAGTATATTTAACTAATTAATTAAATTATTAAGCTAAATTATATTTTTTCATTTAGTATAAAATAAATAAATAATATTTTTGTTTAAAATTTTTCAATTTTTGACAATTTAAATTGTAATTTTCAATGTATATAGGCTATATTTGTATAAGCAAATGCATATTTTTTAATATATTAAAAGTAGCAATTTACTTTTTACGCTCGCTTCCATAAATATAAATCATGTAGTTTGAAATTATTTTTCCAATTTTTCTTTGATAAAAATAAAATTATATTCTTATTTTCTTTCTTGGATGATTTATTATATATATTTTTATAACGATAATAAATAAATCTAAACAATAA